TGTTGGGAAAGGGGAAAACTGTACACTTCCAACTCCTCATCTTCAAGCCACAATATCCATACTGGTGCAAGAAGTGGTCCAGGTAGGAACCAGTAACACAATCAGAAGAGACAGGGCCAGAGCCTTGCTCTCTCTGTTGAGCATCCCAGAGTCCTGTCAGGAGGAACAAGCGATGTGTGCATTAAAGTGGGTTCAATGCCCACTGCAGCTGTTACAGGATGGTTGTTCTTCTGTTCTAAAGTCATGCTGAACTGCTCTCTGCATTCCTGAGCAGCTGGCAAAACACTGGTTAATATCTCTCTTAGCAGGGATTTAACAAGTTCTGCAGTAGTTAGCAAAGTCCAGACTGACCCGAGTTGTGATGCTTTAATTAGTCTTTCGTATTTAATTTCTCTTTTCAGTCTCAGTAAACGTATTCCTAAGCTCATCCAATCAATTGTGACAAAGGTTAGGTATACACTGGGAGCAGAAAACATCAACCAGGGAAATAAGAAAGAGGATGCCAGCACCTCCAAACCAGCAAATCCAAGACTGCTTTTACGTTATTAACTGTTGACATCTATTTTGGAGGACTATACCTGACATGACTACAACACACTTAGTATTGTAAAGACACAAATTGCTTCTGCTCCAAAGAATTGAAAAATGTGTGTTTTCTTTCTTTTCATATACTCTTTTTATTTTAGAAAGGCAGATATTTGCATTTTCAAAAATTGTTTGTGCACTGTAAGTTAGCAGTAGCCTTAAAGTCTACCTGCTGGAGGTAAATTATTTAGGCAGACAGGTGCTTAGCTACCTACATGCAAGGATTCATACCTGCAATTAACCCCTGGTGCCATTACAGCCTGCGCAGACATAAATCTGGATCCCTAAACACTGAAGGTTAAATAATGCACAGCTTCCTTTGCTTCCTTGGGAAGTTCTTCCATAGGGTGAAAATTGCACCATTTTTATTCTTTGTTCATGGGTGAATGACAATAAAGTGCCTTCCCATCCATTGATAATGGCTTCCAAGCAGTGTGATGGGGTCAGTGCCTGGCACATTTCTGTGGAAGTTTTTATTTAAATGGATTTCATCTATCAATATGTTATTTCTCACTCCAGACATGGCAAACAGGACACCCCCCCTTTTTTTTTTTTTTTTTTTTTTTTTCCAGATGAATACAGTCTGCTTTGCTTACTCTTAAGGCTAGTTTTTTATAAGGCTGGATTGTACAGGGAGAGATGAGGAACTCAGTCTGACTTATCCATTGTTTGAGATGACTTCTTTTTTTTTTCAGCATACCTGCACTCAGGTAAGTCCGGAGCTTGCTAACTGCAGCTGAACTCTGTCTAGAGAGGGGGTTACACAAGGACAGCATACAAGACTGCAAATTCTCTCTTTCCTTGAAGGACTGCTATTCTGAGCACTGCTGTGACAAGCCTTTTTCAGATCTCACAGGGTGCCAATCAAAAGAGCAAGTCTTCAACAGCGACCAATAGCAAAGGAGAGGGATGTAGAGCACCAGTTTGTTTCCATTTGTGCAAGATGATGCACCATGGGCGTGGCTGATACAAAGCACAAAGGAGAACCCAACCCAAGCATAAGATTTTCTGAATTTCTGAACAGCAACTTTCTCCCTCCAACTGGCCATGATAGTGCCCACACTCACTACACTGGGTAAATTCCACATTAATTCACAGTATTTTCAACTCATTGTCCACTTGTTTATTGCATGTACAGGATCTCACCATAGAAATTATCCTAAGCACAAATAAACTTCCTTCGAAACATTTATCCAGAAAGATGTGTTATTTATAGACAAGTTGGTCAGTTCTGTGAGAGGTGCAGTCAGGACAGGGTGCTCTGCAGGTGACAGCTCTGAAGCTTGTTTTAAAATGAGAACAAAAACATGAGTGCAGAGGTTAAGGACAAAGAAAAGAAAAGGTTTGAACCTAGGAACAGACTTTCTTTTTTTTTTTTTTTTTTTTGGTCAGGATACTGTGTGCTGCTGAGATAAGAGAAAATGGATAAAGGAGGATTCTAAACAGAGGAGAAATGGTAATGTTAACAGAGTATCAATGGATAGGCTTAATGAGGTTTATCAGATTTGGATAAAAGAGAGGATAGTTATCAATCCTCCACAAGCTCTCAGTTTAAACAGCTAACACATTTGTTCTCACCCATGAGGAAAACACCTTAATTTGACAAGCAACCTCACTCAAATGCTCCCAGTACAGCCATGCAGCAGTGCCTCCTGTTTCCTTCTCAAAGTGAGTTTAATACCTCTGAAAGGTGCTGAGTCAACAGAGTTTAGGACTGAAAGCTTCTGATGTTTGCACCCACCCAGGAAGCTCCAAGTTTGCCTGTCAGTGCCTTTCTGCCTAGTCCTCTGGCCAGAGAACAGCCTATTCCACATTCTGACTCAGCAGTGAGCCCTCGGCAGAGACTGCCATGTATATCCACAGAGCCTATGTGGGAATAATACTCAGTCACTAATGGATGGAAGTCACTAATTCATTTCACATGAGTTACCCAACAATCATAAAATGGTAATTTGTCCTTGGATTAAATTTCCATTTTAAGGACCTGCATGTGCACTAAAAATGTGTAAGATAAGCAAGACTAGAGATGCTGAAACATCCAGAAGAGAAACAGTCAGCTATTTCTAAATCCATTAATAGCATCATTATGCTGAAATTATGTGGCATTCAGAACATATTTACATTAATTTGGGGGTTTACCTAGAGTCTTATAAAAAAGAAGTTCAAAGCAATTTCAGGTAGATTTTGATTATAAAAGACTCCACGAGACAACTCCTACTGGTCTAAGCAGCAGCAGCAGCAGCAGCATTAAATTATTGGAGGCAGTCACCAGTGTAAAAAATGTTTTCACTAACTCATATTGGGGAAAGAGTATTTTTTTTAATAGCAGTTACAATCATCTTCTGAACTGGTCTCTAATTCAAGCTTCCCATTCAAAGGCAAGAAAAAGCATAAGCTATAGACAGAACACTAAGAGTTTCACACAGAAAACAAATAAAGGATGACAAAACATCGTTAGCTTAAAGGACACAAGACCAGGGATCTATGCACATCACCAACTTATCACATCACAATAGTTTCTTAGGAATTGTCCATGTACATGCACTTAATTCCACATGAAACAGGAGGCAACATAAGGCAACCTATGCCTCTTCCTTGTGAGCCAACCCATACCTCACAGGCTCAGCACAAGCACAGTAACCTGTTACCATTACCCCTCACCTCCAAGTCACGTGCAGTATGGAAGATGCTTGAAAAACTGTGTGTCTAATCTGTGGTTAACTGAATTAGTGAGTCGCATCGAACCTTCATATTGAGCTTCATGCATAACAAACTGCACACTGGGTTTCACCAGGAAGAGTAAGGGCAGCAGGTTGAGGGAAGTGTTTTTTCTCCTCTAGCTGGTACTTGTTAGGATGTATCTGAAATACTATGTCCATTCTGTGACAGTATGGGAAAGGCCTTTGAAACCTGGAGAGGGTTCAGTGGAAGTCCAGCAAGATGGTCATGGTGCTAGACCACATGACATACAAGGAGGGACTGAGGGAAATGGGCTTAGGTAACCTGGATAAGGTTAGAGGGAGATCTTACTGCAATTTTCTAATATCTAAAGGGGTGATACAGTGAAGCTGGAAGCCAACTCTTCTCAAAAGTGCACAGCAAAAGAAGAGGCCATGGGCACAAGTTGAGACAATGGAAAAAGTAAAAAAGTGCAAAGAAAAAATATTTTTACAATGACTGGCTAAACACTGGAACAGGTTGCTCAGTAAAATCTTTGGTAAGATTTTGTTTGATAAAGCTGACTGCAAATAAATAAATTTATCCACAGTTTTACTCAGGAACCACAAAACATTCACATAAAACATATTTCACTGCACAGCTTTAATGAAAAGATATGATGTGGATTATGAACTGCCTAGGTATTAGAGCCCAAAATTCAGTTTTCAATGTGTGCTTGCATGTAATCATTCAGCCCTTTCACCAGCAATCTGGAAGTAGAAATAACATTGCTGGTATCACATGCAACACCAGAAATATTGATGGATGGGTGAATACCTACACAGAGAATGAGAGCTTCTTAATAGCCTGGGATCATTCACACACAAAGAATTTAATAATGACAGAGTTATATCAGAACAGTATTAGAAAGGTGATTCTACTTATGCACAGACTGGTAAGATTGATATTCCCTAAGTCTGGTGGTCTGTATAAAAAGGAAGTTGGAAAAATCAGCTGGGAAACCAAAGGGAGCCACAAAAACGAGTCAAGCATTCATTCAAAAGAAAGTATTTGACAACAAGAAGCATAAAGAACTAAATATGCTTAGTCTATCAAAAAGACAGTTTGAGAAATGGCTTGATTACACAGTGTAAGAATTTTCAGAGGGAAAACACTGTTAAAGAGTTCTTTCATTCAGCAGAGAAAGGCCTAATAAAAGGCAATGGCCATTTAGGGACTGAATTTAAATCAGTTAGAGTAAATAGTACATCATTCTCTCTATGTCCAGTGAAACCAACAAGCTATTAATAAAGAAACATCCAGCCCTATCTATTATATCCCAGCAGAAGCAAGCCTTAGTCTACACGGCTACACTCTACAGGAGGAAGGACAAGGCGCTAAGCTGCTGAGCTACCACAGAGGAAGGTTTAAACATTGTTATTTAAGTCCTTACCACATCATCTGGGTATTAACCTTGGTAATCATGTTCCAAACTGAATAACTAGATTCTGCTACAGTAGTGAAAGAATACTTAATTCTCTACAGAGTTCACTTTATATTCTCCAGCCAGCTCCAACTCTAGAATCCTTCTTTCCTCTCTTTTCTAAAATTCACTGCTTAGCACTGCAAATGTAGAGTGAACGAATTTGTTGGCAGGAAAAGTCATCCTTTACATGCCATTTGTAACAGTCACTCTAGGACCCTTATAGCCCTGAAGGGAAATGTTGCATACATATGAAAGTATTACTCTAACTCACCAGGAGTGCAACCAGCCTCATCAACACCATTTTCACAATCCTTCTGCCCATCACATCTCCAGGATGATGGGATACATTTGTTGCTTAAGTCTCCACAGCTAATTTTTTCAGCTGGACATACTTGCTTGGCTGAAAGAATAAAGAAAAAAAACAAGTTAAACATAGTTCTAGACATTGCTAACACTGTTTATGCTTTTAAAGTTACTTTTATTTTGTATGGCTCAATCCTGAGACACATTGTAATGAAATCCCAAGTCAACACTGATTTTGAGGTATGGTTGCTTACATATCCCATATGTGTTCCCCAAAAGAGATCACAATATTTTTACATTTAAAAAAGCACGCCACTGTTTATTAAACAAAATCACAGAAACTCCACTTTACACTCAAAGGAATTAGGGGAGAGGACAGAAGTCAGTCAGATTCACATGCCACTTCTACCTAGTATTTCCTTGCAGGCAGGCTCTTGCTTCTGGCCATCACATTGACCCTGAATAGCAACTGTGCATAGATCCTGTGGCTTTTTACACACTCCTGGGGCCTGGTGGCCCTCTCCCACCTTCTTGCCATCTCAGTCTGTGCACAAGCTAGAAGTGTCCAGCTTTGTGCTGTCACTTTCCTCTCTGCAACATGCCTCTTGAATTAGGTCTCCCTGCACAGGCTTTCCCAGAAACAAGGACCTTCCTCTCCTTTCAAGCCTGTGCCTGGCCCAGCCAATCCCTTCTGGGAACATAACTGTACAGGAACATGCAAATAAACCAAATACCACTCCTCACAGTTATTTTCAAGCTTAACCAAAATGAACTGACAGAGCTGCTTCAATAGATGAACAGGGATTTCAACTAACAGCCTAGGGCTGGTTGTTAAGTAGGACTGCAATACTTTGTGTGAGTAATGCTCAATGCAGCAACAGCATTGCCTGTTTGTACTGCCTCAAACCCTCCACACGCCATGCTTCTGCTATTAAAACACTAGCACCCTGCACACAACAGTAGTACTGGACAAACTACTCTGAAAAATACTACCTCAAATTAAGTCAGGAAAAATGAATTGCCTAATTTTAGTATTAGAGTTTACTTACATGTTTGGTATTGCAAGGCCATTTCTAAATTTAATGATGTAGGCAGATTATGGTTAGTAAACCTGAAGACAAAGTGGTAAGCACAAGCATGAACTCACACACGTTAACTGTAACTGCCTAAATTAAAGGTGACTGTGATCGAAGACATGAAGACACAGAAAGACCACAGAAGCAAAAACCTTAGTACACGCAAAAATATAATTATGGAAAAAAAAAAAAAATCTGCCAAATTTATCTGGAACCAAGTAAGCTGTGAAGCTCCTTCTCTTATTATTGCATTGCCAAAATTCCTTTTTTTTTTTTTTTTTTTTTTTTCAACAGATCTACATTTATTGTGACAAGGCTGCTCGAATGCATAATGTTCCACAGTTTAAACAATTGTTTAGTATTCAGGAATCATCATCCAGTTTGGCAGGTTTGCTTAATAAACAGACTGATTTCTCTCTTTTCTTAAAAGACATGTTTTCAAATATATTTCTTCCATTGGTATTAATGATGATAATGCTATATATGGCTGCAGGTCTACTGAAAATGGAGGAACCAAAATTCTGAATTAAAACTTTCACATTACCCTGCCCTGGTAAAGATATTTATGCAAAGTCAATCAGTTTCCCAAGTGCTGGGCAAAAGAGGATGAAAATTATACCTCTCCCTTTTCATCTGCACAAGAAGGCTGTAGAGTGCCATCTTACAGCCCCAAAGCATCAATCAGCCACTTAGAAAGCAGAGCTGTTTAATACGAGGATTTCTCTTAGCGCCTTGAAGTGCTATAAGAAGCAGTTTCTAGAAGCTGTGGGAAACCCATATATCAAGAAAAATTAGGTCCTGCCACAGCCAGAGAGTTAATAACAGATGTAATGAAGTTTTATAACCCTGAGGAAAGACAGCATTTTTGTTGAAATTTGCTCACTGCATACCTAAATAACATTTATAAATGTTGCATGATCTACAGAGTGGAGGAAAAACTCTACAGAGTGGAGGATCCTTACTTAGGCTTTTTGACTATTTTACCAGGTCAGTAACAAAAATCACCTGACGTTGGAAAGGTTCCACAACACCACTCCACCAGGATCAGCGTGTCTGCCGGCTCAGAGTTGGTGCCCTGACACAGGCTGGGACCCACATCCCACGTTTTCCCCTTAGCCCTGGTCCCTCTAAGCTGAACATTTATAATGCATAACTGCAGGGACGCTTGGCGGTGCTGAGCACTCGTGTCCTTCCACAGAAGTCAGATAGCATGTCTGAAAACCAGGTCATTTGCCAACTGTGCAAAATGGTGTAAAACAAGGTGCTTGCCCTCACCCTCGAGGATGCTGGCACGCCTCACTGCAGCTGAGCTGCTCCAGACACTATCCCCAGACCTGTATGCTGGGGCACACCACCATTAAATATGCCCAAGTAATTCATGGATACAGAAGGAAAAAGGAAAAACGAGCTCTGTGGCAGCTGAGTGACAACCAGCAGCCCCCTCAAACAAGAAAAAAAATGGAGCTAAAATGGTCCATTTGGCCTGGAAGCCCCTCAGCACAGAGGGCTTGCACCCCCAAATTACTGCTTCTGCCGGCCTTACCCAGCCCTCACACACGTAGGTGTGAGCCTGGAGAATGTTGTGTTGAGAAGTAAAAACGTGCAGCCAAGTCTCTATAACTTTTTTTTTTTTTTTTTTAAAAAAAAAAAGTGGGTCAAGACAGGTGAGAACACTTACCACACACCTGATTTTGAAAAAGGTGAAATATAATTATAAAACGGTATCATAACACTGTGGGATCATTAACCAGCAAAAAGGTTATTTATAGGCCACAAGTTTAAGTATAGGCATTACTTTTGCCTGGCTACTGTGGGCAGATGCTTAATAGCTTTGAGAAGCTGAAAGGTTTGGAAAGTTATGGATAGAAGACTCCTATTTATGGAAAGCAATCTCTGTGTTAATCATTTCGCTGACAGAGTAATTACAGACATTTAAAAAATGTAAATCAAAGCTTGAACTTGCAGGATACAGCAACAGAAGCTGTTGTTGGTCACAGTTCATCAAATCTCTGTGTTCCAGTGGTTTCTACACCCAAGCAGTCGTTGCATGGAAGCCAACAACTTGTAAGCACTGGCAGATAACAGGGCATAAAACTCAGAGCAAAATCCTGATGAAAATATTTCCGTGTTATTTCAGCGAAGTGGGTTTTTTTCCTCCCCGCCCCCAGATGCTGCAGCAGTGCAAGTGGACTCAATGTTGTTGTCCACACTATGAAACAGGCTTTTAGCAACTGCAATCCAGACTTAACATGTCTGTATGCTGCTTACACAAACCCAGGCCTTACGTGACCAAAATGTTTACTTCCTACTTTCCTCTTCACCCACACAGAAAGCAAAGGGTTAGCGTTGTACGTGATGGTAAGTGCTCTTACCCTGGATATATTCTGGACCAATACAAGTTATAGCAAGATCTGCCTTTTCAGAAAAGCACCATTAAACAACTCGGTTGAAATGTCAGACACATCAAGACCAATTTATCACAATGAACTGCAAATGCCAAGGATGGACAACAATGGTTTATTTATAAGGAGACAAGAGCAAAGAAGACAAGAAGGTTCCATTTACTCACTACCGCCAATGACACATTCTTCTTTTTCTTTACAGGAGGCTACAAAGTCTTTCAGAGAACCATAGAGCCTAACTGGCGCCCCACTGTTTGCTTCCTCTTGTGCCACTGCTGTGCTTTTCAGGCTCCGGACATCATGTATATTCAAGAAAGCCCAAGAAAACAGAATTGATTTACTTTCAGAAGACCATTTGTCAGGTTCTCACCAAACAGGTACTCTAAGAGCATACACAAAATGTAATTAAGCAGCTTCTACTGGTGGGAAACCCACAAGACTTTTCATCAGCAGACTGAAAAGAACGCCCTTTGTGGACATACATCATCTTACAGGTCTGAACAGTTTCTCTCTCTGCTGAAATAACTCCCCGTCCTCTCCAGACTGCCCCCTGTGTTTTTTCCAGGTTCTTCAGAAGAAAAATCCCAACCCAACCCACTCTGCAACAGAGAAAATGTCATACTAAAATGGTTTAATTCATTTCTGACGTGTCAATAAACTGTTCCTGCAAAACTTTCAATATGACCTGTATTATGGAACTTAAAATTCCCTCTTTCCTCCAGCATTGGTTTAAGTTTTTCTTTAAAATGTTTTTTAACAAGGACCTTCCCAAATATTGCCCTTAATTCTTCTTTTGTCATAGGTGGCAGTCCTATCTCAGAGATGTACCAAGAACAAAAATGTTCTTATCTGCCCGTGTACAGGACTAGTACCTCTATGTTTCCAGCCAAAACAAGCACAGTTGTTAAATGAGGAACTGTTCAGGAGAGAAGGAGGGAGCTGACAGGTAGAGATTGCTTAGTGAAATTCAGAACTCAGAGCTCCCAGTCTACATATAAAAATAAATGTATATCCCAGTCTACATTCACTATCGACTTATACTTTCCCACTGAAGCATTTAGGGTGCATAAGAAACACATTTCAGAAATCCATCTTGTGCATTAAATTACTATCACAGCTGAGAGTGTCTGCACTGGTATTTTCCTTCCCTTGCCTCTTCTTCCACCTCAGCATGGAACACTGGCTTCTACCCCATTCACCCACTTGTTTACCCCATTGCTCAGGACAGGTTGCTGTTGACTTAGTTTATTTCACTTAACCCTGCAAGATGTGTCTCAGGAATTTCTTTGCCACTGGTGTACAGAGCACACACACTGTGACTACACAGGAACTCTCCTGAGCCTACAGCTTTGCTGGGTGCCTGCATTTGGATCTATGCATCAGCTATATACAAAGACAGAACACATTACAGGGAATGCTAATCAAAGCTGTTTTCACAAAGGTTGGGATTCTGCAGAGAACTTCCCTTTCTTTCATGTAAAGCAACATGCTACAGGCATCAGCCTGCTGGGATAGCAAGCTTTATGCAAACTTGCAACTTTTAATAAACTCAGTGCAACAGCACGCAGTAGCAGTATTTGGTTTGCTCACCGTATCCGTATTATGCATATACTTGAGAT